TAAACATGGGTATTGCAGAAAAAAATGTTTTTTTTATTTATTTATTGATGAATTAATTAATTAATTCATTAATTTTTTATTATTGTTTATCTCAGTAGTAGTTTCATCTTCTAAAGTCCACATTATTTTATTAGTTAAAAGGATTAGCATAATTATTTACTATATAAGATTAATTTTTTTTTTAACTACACGCGGTAACAAATACACGTTTGACGGGATTAAAATATATTATAAAAATATCGATTTAAACATACGATGTGCAGAATTTTTTATTATTATATATTTATTTATCTATTTATTTTTCTTTTGTTTATCTATTGTTTATTTATATTTATTTATGATATTTTGATTATAGAATAAAAGAATAAGTATAACACAACGACTTTGGATACGGTTATATATATATTTATTACGTCACTTTTCACAATTAAACGTTCATGCATATATAGTTAGAACAATGTTGTCAGCACTGGTACAGTTAAAATATTATAGAGTTAGTACTTGGTATATCCACTGGAAGCCAAACTAGAACAGGGGGCTGCAAAGTTGTATAGTGGTACGTCTGAAACGTTTGTCTAAAGTTCGTGTTCTGTTCTTCGTTTGCCTCCCCCCTCCAGTCTAATATTTTTCTTTTTAATGTCAGATCCTGGTTTAATAATTAATTATTGGAAACCTTCTAAGTCATTTATGAAATTGCTTCTATCGATTTTCTTGCAGATTTAATAAGTGTTCAATTACAATTCTGAATGTGGTAATTAAATTTATAAGTCATTTTCCAATACATTTAATTATTTAATACCAATGGGGATTGACCACTTCGCTCAATTATGATATTTCATCAAAGCTTAACCATAATATTTCACATTAATATTTACACCTTTTGACTACTTTAAAAACCATTATCAGTAAATAGAAATAAAGTGCATAAGAACCTAAATGATTCTCGAGGACATATAAGGATTATTATGCCTTATACACATATGTCCTTATTAATCAAATATACGAAACACGACAAATATTAAAAGGTTAATACTTAGTTTATTTATATGTACGGAATAGTCCAATTGTGTTACATTAGTTCAATGCAAGGAAAAGACCAAAGGCATTCCGAATAATTCGTTCATCTTGCGTTCACCGTTCGTTCACCGTTCACTTTGCGCTCGCGTTCGCGCTCCGTTCGCGTTCTGCATTCACTAACCGTTCTCCGTTCACACATCATTCACCAAGTTGCGTTCAGCGTCCACACATCGCTCACTCACCGATCACTTTGCGTTCGTTTACAGTTCATTTCACCATTTAGATGGGAAAGTGAAACATTTGGGGTGCTTACTGCCAACACTTGCTCATGCGGCCAGGTGGTAGCAATTCCTCATCAGCAGCATGTGACCATGTGTGTGTGTGTGTGTGTTGTTGTTAACATCTTGGGGAATCACCACAAACTCCCAAAGTCCAACCTGTGCATTATTTTACTTAATGTATTGATTCCTGAGAACCTGTGATATACAAAAATATAATACAAACACTACATTCTAACCTCAGAAATGTGAAAATATAATGGATGAGAGAGTAGAACTTATTTTTAATAAATATTACATTATGCTTTCCATATGATAAAAAAGGAAGTTAAAAATTGAGTTTTCCCTCAGCTCTGTTATTATTCAGATTGAATGAAGAAACAAGTATGTAGATATGTCATTTATTGATGACATAAATGAAACACATGAAATTTGGGAATCCGTTCTACAGATTCCGCATCTAAACCATGTTATGGTTCTCCCAAAAGTAAATGACAGTGAATGTTTTCAAACAGATTTATCAAACATTTAAGGTTTTTGAAAAAGAAGTTGGTTGAAAATCCAACTATCCACCCCAACAGGAAAGGACGATTCCAACTAGTTGATTTTGCGCCCGCCAAATTTTAATTGGGGACATGCACTATTGAAAAAATAAAATTCCCTTAATACCTATGTGCAGGGTGGTGGAGTCTCTGCCTGAAAAATAAATCAATGGTGGCCAGCAACCCCTATTAGTATTTATTTTAAATTGCATAAATGGTAAACAATATTTTCAGAACATGGGTTTGAAAATATTCACAACTGTAACAAAACAACATATCAACAAATGTTAAATTCAGTTAATTACATTGCAGAAGGTATTTCTTAACTATACAAATACTTCACAGTGCACATTCCAAATGTACAGTCCTTTATTCCATACTCAAAATTGTTATTTACACTCTACAAATCCCTTGCAAATGACTAAAAATAACTCAGGTGTAATGGGTAGGGGAGAGGGGATGACAGACCTAATCTGAACCATTAGAAGCTAACCTTGGCAAATGGCAGACATGATTTGAACCATCTTTTAAGCTGAGTCTTAGCTCAGCCTAAGGAGCAATCCCCATGAACATGGCAGACATAATCTGACTCTGTGTATCTATGGACAACCTACATGGACATAACCGACCTAATCTGACCAGTTTACCACTTATCACGGGGCAATAAATAAACAACAGAGAGAGAGAGAGAGAAGATCACAGTTGGCTGATATATATGACCCATTTAAAGCTAATTAAGGGACAGCCTACATGAAGATGACTACCCATGTTTGAATTGCATTTTCTGAAAAAACCTAACCTGGCTGCATGATTTGTACCAATGCAAAAACTATTAACTTTGTACAATTTTGATTCAAACCGATGAATGTAATGCTCCCCTTAAATGTTTTGAAACAAATGAATTTGAAACTTGAGTACCATCAATGAATAGAAAAAAGGGTCCTTTTTGAATGTTTGAATTGACGCAGGTAATCAACAAGGGCAAACACAGGACAGAGTTCTTTTTCAGATTGGGCCTCTAGGCAGATGGTAACTGCCTGACCAGATTGCAAAATTAAACTTACGCTTTTTGATTTACATTCTTCAGTTTCAAAATAAATGTTTAACCTTGCAACACTTGATTCATAGATTGCTTGCAGTGTCCAACAATTAATTATTTAAAAAAATCCAAAAAATGCTGTAAGAAACAATACTCTTCTTAACAGAATTCGGTGACTCCAAGTGGCGCTTGTATGAAGTATAGCCTGTATAAGTTTTACAAGAATTTTCCCCGTTATAGAGAGCCTCGTGTCTGCTCCCTGGCCAGATTTTTGAAACCCTTTTAACAATTTCTGAACAAGGGAATTCGGAGATGGGTCTGGCAAATTCAAAATTTTATAAACCGATGAAATGGCCAAAACATGTGATGACAATGTGTTTGGTGAATATTTGTTTTCATAAAGATGAGCCAAAAAATTACAAATGGTGCTTGTCTTTAATGGAAGATCAAGTGTTGTTGGTGAACAATGCTGCAACAAGTTCCATGTATGTAGGTATGCTTTTTTTGTTGCAGGGTTGATAAAGCCTGTATTAGATTCCGGGCCATTGGCGTTAAATGTGCAAAAGCTGGCAAGGAACATGGGTTGGATGTTTGTCTAAGAATGGAGCCTCCCTGAAAGCCTCCTGAAATTTTAAACGAGAGAGTCTGTCAGCAAGTACATTGGATTTTCCTGAAACATGTTTTGCTCTAAAGTGTATATTGCACTGCATTACTACAAATACAAGCCGACGTAGCAATTTCATGAGGTTATGTTCTTTAGATGTCTGTTTATTTATGATCTCTACAACTGCCATATTGTCAGATAAAAACAATATTTTTTTGTTTTGAAGTTCATGCCCCCATAATTCTAATGCAATAACAATCGGAAAAAAGTTCTTTGATGCAAATTTGATATTGTATAAGGGCATTAGGCCATCCATTCTTTATTTAGGAAAACAGACTTTCCATTAAAGTGTTCCATGAAATATGACCATGTAGCTAAGTCAGCTCTCGCTTCCTTTTCTAGCTTAACATATCGTTTAGAATCATCGAAACCACATGTGAAATTGATTAAACGCCTTAAGAAAGCCCTACCACGTACTACTACCCCACACGCAAAGTTAAGAAGACCTATGACTGACTGTAATTCTTTTAATGAGACTTTTTTGTACCTTTTTAAGTGATCTAATATTTACTCTAATCTTGACAACTTTTTCAAATGGAAGTCTGCATTCCCTGTATCTACGTATATCCCATAGATAATTATCTTAGTTGTTATTGTCTGCGTTTTATGCATCTTAATAGGAATCCCAATTTGCCTACACAAGAATAAAAAACTAACTAGATCATCCCTACACTTTGATGAATTTGGTGGGCCCACAAAGAAAAAATCGTCTAGGATATGAGAAACCCCCGCTGCTTTAAAAACGTTTTCCATTATCCATTGTAGTGCACAGATTAATGATTCAAAAATTTGACAACTGCTACTTGCCCCCATTAGTAAACACATGTCATAATAGAATGAATTTTGCCGATGAAATCCTAACAGATGGTGATCTAGGGGGTGAATTGGAACTATCCTAAAGGCATCTTCGATGTCAGACGTTGCCATTAAACTATTTTTACCAAATTTTTTAACCAAACCTACAACATTATCTATTGAATCATAGTGCACAGCAGAGAGCTCTTTTGGAATGTTGGCATTCACGGATTGGTCTTTAGTAAAAGACAGGTCATGAATTATTCTGAAATTACCTGATTTCCCTTTAGCACTAAACCGAGGGGTGATACAATAAAGCGATATGATGGGGGTGTAAGGAATGGTGCAGCAATTCTACCTTTTTCTAGACCTGCTTCTATATATTCATTGATAATATTTGGATGCTCCATTGTTGATTTATGATTTCTCGACATATGGGATATGATAGGATCTGTGACACAACCCAGGCAAAAGCCTTGTTTAAAACCCTGAACCAAATAAACTGGAAAAGGATCTATCCTAATGGGCTTGAAATTCACTTAATTTGTTTGGGTTGACTGGTGTTGAAGTTGAAGCCCCCCCCCCCCCGTGGTTGTTGAAGCTCTGGGTTTAAAATTTGATGTTTGATTTCTTTTACCCCGTCGACAACTTCTTTTTGTGTGGTTTCCGTTGCATGTTTGGCATGTATGAGAGAAGGGGCACTGGTCATTTGAAAATTATCCCCATTATAAAAGGCATAGCAGAAACGGACTTGCGATCTACTTGCCATTTTCGGAAAAAACTGTTAGGCAGTGTTATTAACACAGGTGTCTGTAGCAGCTTTTACTCTAAGTTCTTCAATGGGTTTTTGCCAGGGGACATTAACTGTTTCTTTTAATTGTCTAAAATTCTCGTCATAGACTCTCCAAGCCTTTTCGCCTAGCATTTTGTGCATTTCCCTTATGAAAAAGCAATATTTTAACAAATGCGGGGCTTCACTTGGGGACTTTTCCAAATAGATTGCTGTGAATATCAAAAACGCATCTGTCCACTGATTAATGGACAGAGGCGTTTTTGGCTTTGTTGCATTTTGCTGTATTGTAACTGATCCGGCAGCAATATTTAAAGATACTGGATCCCTAGCTGCTGCAGCAGCACACGCAAATCTAAATACTGATCTTCCCAGATTTTTTGTTTTATGCGTTGTGCTACTGTTGCACCGAGGGGAATCCCATCAGTGATGGATATGCTATTTGCCACTTTTGGGGTTGCTGGCTCACCTGAACTCAATAGCTGATTAAGTAATGCTGATACGTTGCTTGTAGCATCTGAAGAAGGACCGGCATCATGCACACTGGATTCGGTGGAAGGGGCATTATCTGAAATTTGCACGTCCTGAGGAGCCACTTGTTCAGTGTTAGTGATGGGAGATTGGCTACTACCCTGTTGCTTTATAATTTCAGCTGCAAGTTTTTCATAATCGATCTGCACGGTTGGATGCTCCGCCGGTTTTGACACTTCACTTTGATTTTTTCTTTTCTTTCTCGTCCTCGGGGTTTCGTCTGTGGCTGGCTGTCTCTTTGGCATGGTTGAAACTGAAAGAATTATGTGTATTTAGAATATATAGCTTTATATTTTAAGCAAACTACTTCTGGTTGCTACTAATGTTATATTGAAAGGTCTCATCAACATGTTAGAAACTGCCTTTCATAAAATTTTGCATAATTTGATAATTATTACATGATTTTCAGATTTCAATAACAGTCGCTTCAAATCTTTAAGTGAATTTCCTCAGTGATGCAAACATATCTGTTACATTTTAGTGATTAATCAAGCTGTTATAAAATAAAAAGGCCATGCCTTACTCTTGATCATGTATTAAAAGATAGCAGTCAAGTAATACTTTGAGACAGACATATGACTTACACATTACGCCTAAAAAAACAACTTTGCGACACTAAAATGAAAAACTTTGACGCCATGCAAACTGTAAGTTCACATTGCAAAACATAACTTTGAGACAGTAACATGGAAAACTTTGACATCATATATACTGCTAGTTCACTTTGCGAACCGATAACTTTGAGACAGTAACATGGAAAACTTTGACATCATGTATACTGCAAGGTCACATTGCGAACTAATAACTTTGAGACAGTAACATGGAAAACTTTGACATCATGTATACTGCTAGTTCACTTTGCGAACCGATAACTTTGAGACAGTAACATGGAAAACTTTGACATCATGTATACTGCAAGGTCACTTTGCGAACTAATAACTTTGAGACAGTAACATGGAAAACTTTGACATCATGTATACTGCTAGTTCACTTTGCGAACTGATAACTTTGAGACAGTAACATGGAAAACTTTGACATCATGTATACTGCAAGTTCACATTGCGAACTAATAACTTTGAGACAGTAACATGGAAAACTTTGACATCATGTATACTGCTAGTTCACTTTGCAAACCTATAACTTTGAGACAGTAACATAGAAAACTTTGACATCATGTGTACTGCAGTTTCTAATGGAGTTTATATCTAAAACAAATATATAAAATTGTTATTATTATTATTTTACTCAACTTGGATGTTTTGAACAGAAATATCTCTAAATCTCTTACTAGATCTGTAGATATTTGACTCATGTTCTATTCATATAAATACATCATTTTACATGATTTTTGTTCATATCATTATACTAATGATATGTGACCTCAAATTTACTAATACCGGCCTTAGCCTCCTGCAAGTGTTGACCACCGCATATTTGATACTATTAAGGTATTTGACCATCGGTACTGGACCGGTACTGCGTGACTTTGTAGATAGATGGACTCCATCAGGCCCCAGGTACTCTAAGTTAGCCCAAAACCCCCGGTGTTTCCAAAACGTTACATTTGGTAAGGATCCAGATGCCGAATGCAGGAGCTGATTGACCTCAATAACCCCGTTGTTGTAGAGAGGTGGCGATTTTTGAGGGTCCCGTCTGATGAGTTGTCCGATGATAACGTGTTTGACACCTATCCCGTGTACCAGAAAGTTTGCCAAGGAAATTATGTTTCTCACAATCTTTGCGGGGGGATCAAAACAAAGGTCATTCCCCCCAATTTGCACAAAACAAATGTCTGGGGCTGTGTGGAAAGTGCATAGTGGCGATGTCGCCAAACGTTGAACTGTTAGCCCACCTTGCCCCCGGATCACCACCGAAAATTTGTCACGGTCCAAACACAGATTTTTGTATCGTGTATTTTCACTCATGAATGTGTCCAGTCTTCTAATATATGAATGGCCAATTATCACGACCTTCATTCTGTCCGCCACTTTGAACACCCCGCATGTACCCAGGCTCCGATGGAGTCGAAAAACAGTCACAATGTTAATCCAAAATCTTATCACTTACGTTTGATATCAACTGTGCATATAAGTCTTACGCTCGCAAATGCACTAATTGTATGGTGTTGAATCAAGATTAATCCGTAATTGCGGTGCTATGCTTTTCATACAAAAAATAACATGTACCAACACTTGCTGCATCAACAGTGATATCAATCACGTGACATCTGTGACAATATCTAACGTCTAATTACCGCAAAACCCCGAAACCCAAGCCTATGCATTACCTAACTTTGTTAACCCTGAAACCTGTGATATACAAAAATATATTACAAACACTACATTCTAACCACAGGAATGTAAAATTATAAATGAATGCATAAAACATATTATTTACAATAATATTACATAAAGAAATATTAGTGAGCTTTTAATTATTCAAGGATTTTCTTTTCTACTTGCACATAACATCCGTATAATGTTACACGTTTATATATTTATTCATTAAGTATATTGGATATGATATGCTTTAATCAAATGAATTTGAGATCCGAAGAATAAAGAAATTGTGATAAACTGAAACGAGAAATAAAATCCTGAAAAAAGTTAGGAAAAGGGCTGGAAAACAAAAACTTCATCCTCAGCCTGTGAAAGTATTGTGTGGTGTCCGCAAAACAATTTTTTTCTTTAAAATTCCACAAATTTTTAATGGATCTATTTTTAGATAGAGATTATCCATAATCAAGTATACACTTTAGTAGAAACAAAGATAATTTTTGAAAAATTATTTCTGAACCTGTTTTGAGTAAATCATCGGAAGAATCTGAGACTGATCTAATAAGTGAGGATTCTCAAATATTCCTCAGACGTAGAAGAATGAGAAGGTTTCATTACTTTAAAGGAGGCTTCTTTCACTTTACATAAAATGAAAACAGACAAATCACCAGGTTCTAGTGGTTTTTCAATTGAATTTTTAAAAGTTTTATGGAAATATATGGAACGCCGTCACTGCCTTATAGCAGAACACTGCGATTGCATTGCGTCAACCTTCCATTACATTATGTCAACTCTTTATGACATTTACTCACACTGGTATTGCATTGTGTCAACTTTCCTCTACATTATGTCAACTCTTTATGACATTAACCCACACTAGTATTGCATTGTGTCAACCTTCCATTATATTATATCAACTCTTTATGACATTAACCCACACTACTATTGCATTGTGTGAACCTTCCATTACATTATGTCAACTCTTTATGACATTAACCCACACTACTATTGCATTGTCTTAACCTTCCATTACATTATGTCAACTCTTTATGACATTAACCCACACTACTATTGCATTGTCTTAACCTTCCATTACAGTATGTCATCTCTTTGTGACATTTATTAGCACTACTATTGCATTTTATCAACTTTCCTTTACATTAGGTCAACTCTTTATGACATTTACACACACTACTGTTACATTGCGACAACTTTCTTTTACATTATGTTAACTTCTTTATGACATTTACTAACACTTCAATTATATTGTGTCAAACTTTCACTTCATTATATCAGTTCTTTGTGACATTATGTCAAAACAATTTTACGTGGTGTTAAGATACATTTATATAATTTCAACTCAGTATTACATTACGTGCACTCTCTACTATTTGGTCTGAGTAGTTCATTACCTGATGTGAATTTATCTTAATTTGATATCAAGTCGCTATAATACAATGTCAGAATTTCATTACATGATGTCAAAAAATTGTCACATGTGGTCAATTCTTTTACTACATTATGTTATCAATATGCTACATGACGACGTGAATCAATTTCATGATGTGAATTTGCCCTTACTTTTTAACAAATCGTTATTACGTTATGTCATTGTGTCTTTACATTGTGTCAAAAATGCTCAGCCTCTTGTCAGAATACATGTATCATAGGCTATTTCATATTGATCTGCTGTGGAAAGCTCATGTTATACTGTGCGCACTCTTCTACATTATGTCGATTCACTATTACGTTATGCGAACACGGGTATCCTCGGCCTTTGTATGCGCATAACGTATTTTCCGCGTTCCGCAGGCACTAAAAATGGCGGGAAAGAAAACAGTCGTAGAAGAAATTCTCGGCGATTTGGGAATGGCATATTTAAATGAAAACGTAAAGCGACAAATGATTGACAATCTTGAAACGTGCAGCGCAAGGCCTTCACACTGCGACTGTGAATTAATTCTAATGGCGTTTACTTTAATCTGATAATTAAATAAATCAAATATTATGAGTCGAGCAGCATTTTTTTTTTATTTTCATATTGAATTGTTTTTGTTTTGTTTTTTTGTTTTTTTGTTTTTTTTTAATAGAAGTCTTAAACTTCTTATCTTATTAAGAACATTGTCATATGCTTTTATCAGTCTCTACCTCTCCTTTCTATTTTTAAAAGTGTTAACACACAGTATAACAAACGTGCAACGGTGGGTTGGGGGTTGGGGAAGGAATCCCGTCCTTCCATCTTTAGTGACCAAAATATACATAAGATTAATAAATTTATTGGTTTACTTTGTAGGACATTGCTTAAGATTAGCTGAATAAAGTTGAAAACTTTTTTCTATAAAACTATAAAGCCTAAGAGCTTTTTCCCCCCTTGGTCTCCAACCATATACCGTCCCCCTTCCTTGTGCAAGATTCCCATATCCGCCACTGTATATGTGCCCTATGCATGCTTGCTAAGGCATATTCAACTGATTTATACTGATATATAGATTTTTGTAATAGAATTCTGGCACTGGAATTGTTGAAAAAATTACTAATTCCAGTGACGTAGCATTTTTTTTGAAAGGGAGCCGAGGTCAGCCAGAAAAAAAATCTACTCGAAACAAATCCTATTTTTTTTTCAAGTATACTACATTACCCGTAGTGGACTATACTTCAAGAAAAAGTGGGGATGGGGCTGTGCTTTCCATGAACATTACATTTTCTACAGTAAAGTTATATATGGGAAAAGAGGGGGGGGGGCTGATATTATGTGCCTGAAATTCGTCCTAATCAATGAAGAGCCCCCCCCCCCCCTTCTCTTACCAGTCATTAAAACATGGTCGTCAACATTCATTATATACCAGATACACAGCTTTGAGATAATGAAAATGTATTTTTACATCAGGTAATGAACTTTTGGTATCAATATGATGAGGTGTTAACACAATATAAAGATGTTTTTAAATCACATTAGAAAAGGTTGACATAACGTAATTATATATCCAACACATCACGGAATGGAGTTTTGACATAATGTAATAAAGTGTTGATATAATATAAAGTTATGTTCACATTATGTTATACACTTTTTACACCGCGTAATAAAGCACTGACATGAAGGTAAGATGTGTTCACCTCACATAATGATGCTCCCGACGTATAATAAAGATAAATCCATATCACGTAATAATGATTTGATATAATAGAAATATACACTCTCAAAAAGGAATGGATTTTTGACTTCATGTAATGATAAGTTTAATTATAAAACACAATTTGCTTGACGCAATGCGATTTTGACCTCGCATATTAAAGAAATGAAATGATGTAAAGAAACATTCATTTCAAGTAATAAAGTTTTAACACAATGTAAACACATAATCACTTAACAAAATGGATTTTTTACTTCAAGTTATGAAGTGCTGACATAATAAAAGAATGTATTTACTTCATGTAATGCAGCATTGACTTGATGTTATGATATTTTCACATCATATCATAAAAAATGACATAACGTAAAGATATGTTTACATCACGTAATCATAAATTGACATAATAAATGCATAGTTGTATGCTATAAGGCAGTGATGGCGTTCCATAGAAATACATTGAACACTTTGTTGTTAGATCAATTAATTAAGCATGTGAGAAAAGCCTTATGTGTATCATACAGAGACATGCTATATAAATACCTTTACCAAGGAAAATTCCTAAAAAACTGGTTGTCAATTACACTCCTAAATACTGTATACAAAATTGCATCAGGAACTATTGCTTACAGAATAAAAAAAATAAAGTTTACAAAGTGATTAATAGCGATCAAACGGAATTTATTTCGAATAGTTACTGGAAAAATATTCTTCTCATTTATATGGAATGATCCACAACACAGTATGAAGAAAGATTTCTTCGTAAAAATATTTGAAGAAGTGAACTAAAAATGATATATCTTAGAGTTTTCACCGCATCATTTAAATTATTTTGGATGAGACAGCTCATTCTGTCAGACAAAGGTTTACAATTTTGTTTACATTAAATAGGTTTGATAAAAATATTAATATGCCGCATTGAATATATTAAGAATATCAAGAGGAAGCTTAAGCTAGTTTTGGAAAGATGTCTTTTAGGCTTGGATTGAATTAAATGATAAACACTCTAGTGTATGCAAGAATGCAGGTGACATATCAATTTTCTATAATCCTAAAGTTGTCATTGATGGGGAAGTCATTAATAATAAAAAATAGTATGACCTGAATGTTAAATTTATTAATGAGCTTACAGATGAAAATGGTTCTATTTATACTTATGAGGAATTTGTAGCATACAGTGTATATCCAAAAGTAAGGCATAATTACTTAGAATTTCAGGTATAATACGAGGGATTATTAAAAAGTTCGTGGACTGAGGCTGTAAAATTAGTACTATGTGGTCTGTGCTTTCAAAATTTATATGGAACATGAAAAAAAGAAACGTTGAAATTTTTACCCAAATTTATTTCCCAAATTTTTATAAAATAAAAGCGACATTATATGATCACGCTGCGCTGCCGTCGTTTATTTTAATGACGTCCGACAACGTCATTGTTTTTTCAATGTCCTCATGCACTTTTTCTGATGAGATTCCCTGAAGCTGAGTAAGGACTTAAACCCGCCTTTTTATATGACTCTACAATGTCATGAACAGCCTTTTAATGAATATAATAGATATATTCCAAATGTAATTATACATTTGGAGGGATTCTCGTTTGATTGCCGGTATACTTTGCTTTTGGGAGTTTAATATCTTCAGCAATGTCATTTTTTGACGCATTGATTTTCAACCCGACAAAAATAACA